CTGTCCTCGCATTCTTCGAGAACCACGGTTTCACCAAAACCCAGATCTCAACTCTCGTCGGGAAGCTCCCTCCGGTGATCGTATGTGATCCGGAGAAAACCCTTTTGCCCAAACTCGAGTTTTTCAAATCTAAAGGCGTTTCGAGCACTGATGTTGCCAAAATACTATCTTCATCGCCAACTGTTCTGAAAAGAAGCTTGGAAAACCATGTCATCCCATCTTTCAATTTCTTAAAAAAAATTATGGGATCTGAAGAGGCGACCATATCTGCTATTAAACGCTTTGGCAGGCTTCTTTTGCTTGATCTTCGAGTTTGCGTGGCACCCAACATTGAATTTCTGCGAGAAGCCGGCGTGCCAAATGAGAATATTATGGTCTTGTTGAAGTACCAACCTAGAGTATTCATGACAAACAGCGCTAGGTTTAGAGAGGTTGTGAAGGAGGTGAAGGAAATGGGCTTTAATCCTCTTAGGACGAAATTTGTGATAGCAGTTCATGCTTTTAGGGCAATGAGAAAATTGACGTGGGAGAAGAAGGTTGAGGTTTATAAGAAATGGGGTTTGTCTGAGGATGATATTCTTGTTGCTTTTGGGAAGTATCCGTGGTGTATGATAGCGTCCGAGCACAAGATCTTGGGGGTGATGGATTTTTTTGTCAATAGAATGGGTTTGGAGTCCTCATTTTTTGTAAGAAGGCCAGTACTTGTTTCGCTGAGCTTAGAGAAGAGAATTGTTCCAAGGTGTGAAGTTTATAAAGTATTGTTGTCAAAAGGTTTGATTAAAGACCAGGATATTAGCTTGATGAGAATGCTAGTCTCTCCCGAAAACTGGTTCCTAAATAGGGTTGTGTACCGTCACAAAGAAGAAGCTCCTAAGCTATTGAAATTGTACAAGGAAAAGTTGGCTCTTGCACAATAATTAGGATATAGGTAGGATGTCTTCTTTTGAAACCGACTCAACATACAGTTGGAATGTTCTTTTGTTTCTCCCAGTTGTACTCTGGTTATTGAATTATCTCATTTTGAATACAATGTGGCAATCAATTAAAATTAGTTATCTGTAAGCAAGTTTGTTTCTCTGTTTTGATTCTGATCAATGAAATTTTAAGTTCCACATTGCCGCATTGAATTCTTCTTTTAAAAGTAAATTTTTTTTTACTCATATAGCTTTATTTTTTGTTAATCATAAAAAATATTTTCCATTAACTTTTATTTTCTCATTATACTAAATATCAAAAAATATGAAAAATATTTTCATTCTAAACAAATGGATTGCTAAAATACAATCAACATGTTTAGTTTCTTTTTCAAAAAAAAAAAAAAAACATTTTTTTAAAATTTATATAAAAATAATAAATATTTTTATTTTTTATCAAATTAATCTTTAATTTCTTTTTTTAAAAAAAATCTAAATAAATGGCTCATATATTTAACAATTGGGAGGCATATTGTTTTTTAAGGGTTTATTTTAGGGCAACGTGATCGGATAGGAGAATATTGTTGAATATTGTTGGGTTTGTGGGGTTTACAACGGGTCTTGTTTCAATTATTAATCTTGTAAAAAAATCATGTTAATCGAATATTAATAACTATTTTATCAGATTAAATTTTTATTAACTATTTATAGATGATGAAAAAATTAAACAATTGACAAAAATTTAATCTAATAAAATAACTATAAATATCCAATTACCATGATTTTTTTATCACCTTACAATATTTGATGAATGCTCTGACTGGAGGAAGCCAGCCCTTATATATTTTGCAAGATGTGAATGTTCACGTATGATTATTTGTTTACTTATTGTTTGAACAATCATTTTTTATTACTATTAAACAATTGAAATAATCATTTTTTTTCTTTCAATTTTGTTTCATTTTGCAGTGTGAATGTTCACATTGGTATGAATTTAGCCTTTCTAAGGTTAGTTGTATGTTAATTGTAAATTTTGAACATTCACATTTTATTTTAGTATGTTGTTGTTGTTGTTTTTTTTTTTTTTTTTTAAGTTTTTTGAAAGTTAGTTGTATTTTGTTATTTTTTTAATATGCTTGTTAGTTGAATAATCATTTTTGTTACCATTAAACAATCAAAATAGTCGATTTTCACTTTTTCAATTGTGTTTTATGTTTTCACATTACAGTGTAAATGTTTACATTGGTAAGACTTATTTTTTTAAAGCTAGTTGTCTGTTAATTATAAATCATGAACATTCACATTGTATTTTCGTATGAATTTTATTTTTTCAAATGTTAGTTGTATATTTGTTATTTATTGTGAACATTTATATTGTACTTTAGTATACATTTTGTTTTTTCAAAAGTTAGTTGTATGTTTATTATTTATTGTGAACATTCACATTGTATTTTAATTTTCATTCAAATTTTTTGTTGCGCTATTTTAAAATTTTCAAATTATAAAAGGTTCAAAGTTCATAATTTAAGATTTTTTCTATAGAATGCGGGCAAGATTTTCTTCTTGAAATAAGGGAGATATTTTCTCTATGAAATAAGAGAAAGATTTTCTCTTTAGAATGAGAGAGAAATTTTCTCTATAAAATGATAGACTATTGTTAAATATTAGTTTTAAAATAGAAACAAGTGCAAAAAATTAGAAATGATGATTTGATTATATTACATTAAACAGGACTTAATTAAATACTTAAAAAGAATATAAGTTAAATAGAATAAAATACTTAGAAAGAAAATTTATCAAAAAATGACCCTTGAATTAATTACTCCTGGATACAATTTTTTATTTGCTTCAGTTCATGTAAAAATAAATAAATTAAATAAAAAGTATTTAAATGTAAAGTCCTTCACTTTTAAAATTTAAAAGATTTGCCTCTATGTTTATAAAACAACTAATTATTCACGTGTCGTGGTGAAACGAAAATAAAAGTAGTGGTGATAGCGTGGTGGTGGGGCGATGGCAACGATTATAGCGATGGTGATGGTCACAGTAGTCAAGGTGATGGTGGTGTGATGATGGAGGTGAGAGTAGCAGTGGTAGTGTGATAATATTGATAAAACTTTAATCAGGAAAATGTTTTCAGTCTTTTAAAAGTAAATTTTTTTTTACTCATATAGCTTTATTTTTTGTTAATCATAAAAAATATTTTCCATTAACTTTTATTTTCTCATTATACTAAATATCAAAAAATATGAAAAATATTTTCAATCTAAACAAATGGATTGCTAAAATACAATCAACATGTTTAGTTTCTTTTTCAAAAAAAAAAAAAAAACATTTTTTTAAAATTTATATAAAAATAATAAATATTTTTATTTTTTATCAAATTAATCTTTAATTTCTTTTTTTAAAAAAAATCTAAATAAATGGCTAATATATTTAACAATTGGGAGGCATATTGTTTTTTAAGGGTTTATTTTAGGGCAACGTGATCGGATAGGAGAATATTGTTGAATATTGTTGGGTTTGTGGGGTTTACAACGGGTCTTGTTTCAATAATTATGCTTGTAAAAAAATCATGTTAATTAAATATTAATAACTATTTCATTAGATCAAATTTTTATTAACTATTTATAGATGATGAAAAAATTAAACAATTGGCAAAAATTTAATCTAATAAAATAACTATAAATATCCAATTACCATGATTTTTTTATCACCTTACAATATTTGATGAATGCTCTGACTGGAGGAAGCCAGCCCCTATTTTAGGGTTCATGAAAGAAGAGGGTTTTAGGCCTTTGAAAAAGTTTGAAAACTGGTGGGTTGATTTCCTATGCAGAACAGGTAATGTAAATGCTACCCTCCTCTTCTTTGGTTTCAATTTCGTCAATGTCTAGTTTAATCTTCAGAAATTTACACCATTTGAGGTCTTGTGTTAGAGCTTTTTCACCAACCCACCGCAATCTCCATTTCCTTCAAATCCATCCATTTTCATCATCATCACTCAAAACTACTCCAAATCAACACTCATTCATAGTGAATTACCTCATAAACTCATGTGGGTTTCCTCTAGAAAAGGCTCTCTCAGCATCGAAGTACGTCAATTTTGAAATCCCAGACAAGCCTGACTCTGTCCTCGCATTCTTCGAGAACCACGGCTTCACCAAAACCCAGATCTCAATTCTCGTCAGGAAGTTCCCTCCGGTGATCGTATGTGATCCGGAGAAAACCCTTTTGCCCAAACTCGAGTTTTTCAAATCTAAAGGCGTTTCGAGCACTGATGTTGCCAAAATACTATCTTCATCGCCAACTGTTCTGAAAAGAAGCTTGGAAAACCATGTCATCCCATCTTTCAATTTCTTAAAAAAAATTATGGGATCTGAAGAGGCGACCATATCTGCTATTAAACGCTTTGGCAGGCTTCTTTTGCTTGATCTTCGAGTTTGCGTGGCACCCAACATTGAATTTCTGCGAGAAGCCGGCGTGCCAAATGAGAATATTATGGTCTTGTTGAAGTACCAACCTAGAGTATTCATGACAAACAGCGCTAGGTTTAGAGAGGTTGTGAAGGAGGTGAAGGAAATGGGCTTTAATCCTCTTAGGACGAAGTTTGTGATAGCAGTTCATGCTTTTAGGGCGATGAGTAAATCGACATGGGTGAAGAAGGTTGAGGTTTTTAAGAAATGGGGTTTGTCTGAGGACGATATTCTTGTTGCTTTTGGGAAGCATCCGTGGTGTATGATGGCGTCTGAGCATAAAATCGCTGGAGTGATGAATTTTTTTGTCAATAAAATGGGTTGGGAGTCCTCACTTGTTGCAAGAAGGCCAGGACTTGTTTCGCTGAGCTTAGAGAAGAGGATTATTCCAAGGTGTGAAGTTTATAAAGTGTTGTTGTCGAAGGGCTTGATTAAAGACACGGATATTAGCTTGACAACAATGCTGGAGTATCCTGAAAACTTGTTCCTAAATAGGGTTTTGTACCGTCACAAAGAAGAAGCTCCTAAGCTATTGAAATTGTACAAGGAAAAGTTGGCTCTTGCACAATAATTAGGATATAGGTAGGATGTCTTCTTTTGAAACCGACTCAACATACAGTTGGAATGTTCTTTTGTTTCTCCCAGTTGTACTCTGGTTATTGAATTATCTCATTTTGAATACAATGTGGCAATCAATTAAAATTAGTTATCTGTAAGCAAGTTTGTTTCTCTGTTTTGATTCTGATCAATGAAATTTTAAGTTCCACATTGCCGCATTGAATTCTTTGTCATATCATAATTCTGGTTGGTAATTATGTATATCTACCCGTGTCTGTATTTTGTTTATACATTACCATGTTGTGAGCAGGGGGACCCTTTTCCGTTTCTAAGGTTTACATTGATTCCATATATTCATGATGTCTGCTTCAACTGTGAATTCTCGTGCTGGTTATGATTACCTAATTACACTTTCTTATATTCATATGTCTTTAATGCGTTTTATTTGTTTGAATTGTACACATAAAGTTGTTAACAAGGGCATGGCTGTGGTAGGTAGTTAAACTAGGTAATTATTCAGTAATCCTGGAGTATAGACATGTGGTAGTTCATAGTATTGTGATTGGTGGAGAAGGTGGGTAGGTGGAGTATTGTGTTGGATGATTGAGAAATATGAGGGGCCATATTGAATGTTAATTGGTTAAGGAGTACGAAAACATGGTACTCCGGGAACATTCTATAATTTCCCAGTTAAACTTGGGAAATTAGTTCCCCGTTTTTAAAAAAAATTATCTGATAGGTCTGATCTTGACTTACTTTGTATATTATTTTGTTTCATTTACCTTGTACTCTCATTTTATAGTTTGGAAACAAAAAAATGAGGTTGGTAATGCAATCGACAATCAGACACCACTACCTCTTCAATGTTGTATCATGCACTACTAGAAAATTGACTTTTTGCGACCTTCCTTTTTTTTTGTGACTGCCTGTTTGACCGTCACCAAAAAAAAAAAGAAGCTCCAATTTATATTTAACATTTATTTCTCCTATTTTCTTTTATTTATTTGCTCCATTTCCTTAGTTGTTCCCTAGCCAGGCTCGCTCAACCTCTCTCTCTCTCTCTCTCAATCTCAATCGATTGATCTCTCTATTTCTCTATCATGATCTCTCAATCTCTCTTTTGCACAATCTCGCTCTCTCTGTATCTGCGTACACATTATCTACTCTCTCTCTCTTTGCAATTTGCGTGATTCGTCGCCGCGAAACCCTAACTCTGCCATGTAAAAGGTCTCTCGGAACTCTCAAATGCAGCAGAGTAAGCTCACCTCTCATGCGTTTCATCTATCTCAAAATTCACCTACATTGCACACACAGACACACACACAGAGGCTATCTTTGAGCTTCATTCTGTACGTCCTATTGATGCATAATTACATGAATGCTTATATACATATGTATATGTATTCAGCATCGCAATGCAGATTTGTCCTCAACCCTGTTTTTGCTTATTTGTTTTCCCTTGTTTTGGTTCTTTGATCCATAAATTGATCGATTTTGTTCTTTTTTCGATGCTTTTCGTGTTTATTGGTTGATTAGTTGGTTTGAGAAAATCTTGGTAAAACTTTGTGGCTATTGCTAGTGGTGATGCCTCTGAAGCCTTTGCACAAGCATTATAAGAGAAGGTTTTTGTTGATATTCTCTTCTCATTAGAAGCAATATTCAAAATGTAGCTCTTTAATTTTTATAAGTAATGCAGCTAATCTTTGTCACGCTTTGTTGTTTAAAACCGTCCATGGACCAGAAAATGTACTATGAGAATTGGAATAGATTGGCTGTCATGGCTACTGAACAGATTGTAATGACAGAGTGATCCATTCTACAAGTTAGAATTTTTTTGCTAAACTTTGTTAATATGTTTAGTAATTTTCATGTTTTTTTTGGTTCTCTAATGGCAGTTATACTTGTTAATGAGTAAGAAATTTCAAAAATTATGAGGCAGCTCACATTTGTATCCATAAACATAGTAATATTAATTTTTATTGAAACTTTCATCTTTGATGAATTTTATTTTTTATTCTGTTTACCTAAACAACTTACATTTGCTGTCATTCTTTTGAAGGTGGCAGATGAGTGGCGCCAAAACTCATGGTGGAAGCCTTCCATGAACCAAAGAATAGAAAAAAAGGGTTCAAGGTTTGTACATTTAGTCCCACATTTCATCTTACCCTCCTATTGCTTAATACTAAGGTGGCTTGTTTGGATTTTGAACATCTGAGGAACTAATAAGATCCAAGATGAGAATAATGGACCTGGTGCTTAATACTTAGATGGTATGGAATGGAACCAAATAAAGTCTCTCAGTCTTAGTCTTATGAATTTTCATGCTTATAAATTTTGTCTCCATTTTTAAGATTAACATTAACATGTGTTTCTCTCTTTATATATATACGTCTCTGTGTTTCCCTATGACTTATGCTCATTGATTAACATTATGTTCATTGATTTAGGCTTTAATGTTTGGCTCATTTGATCACTTAGCAAACACTTGGAATGCATAAAAAAGATTTTTTTTTTTTTACTTTTTTTTGGGTCCATTAGGTTTTAAAAAGCAGCCGCAACCGTTACGTAACGCTGTTACTTAACGGTTGTGGTGGTTACCACCACCCGTTAAAGCTGTTATAGCGGTGTGACGGAAATTCACATGTGTAACGGCCGTTTCGGTGTTACGTAACGGCCGTAATGATCTGTTACACACTGTTACACCCTTTTATAATATTCTGAATAACTATGTTTATTGATTTAGGCTTTAATGTTTGGTTTGTTTGATCACTTAGCAGACACTTGGAATGCATAAAAAAGATTTTTTTTTTTTTTTACTTTTTTTGGGTCCATTAGGTTTTAAAAAACAGCCGCAACCGTTACGTAACGCTGTTACTTAACGGTTGTGGTGGTTACCACCACCCGTTAAAGCCGCTATAGCGGTGTGACGGAAATTCACATGTATAACGGCCGTTTCGGTGTTATGTAACGGCCGTAATGATCTGTTACACACTGTTACACCCTTTTATAATATTCTGAATAACTACTTTTCCCAAAAAAAAAAATAAATAAATAAAAGCTTGTAAAAAAAGAACAAATACTCAAGTGATCCAAACCCAAAGAAAAAATCTTATATGAATTTATTTTCTTTATAAATTTTTTTTAATTTTTATTTCATTACATTAGCATGTAAAATAAAAAAATATATAAATAGTGGTTGTATTTATTTTTAATTTTATTTAATATTTAATTATAAATATTTTTTATTTTTTTACTGTAATGTGTTGTCTAAAAAAAGTCTTTAAAAAACTCAAAAATATTTTTTGTTTATGGCACAATATTTATTTTTATAATCATTTTATTTAATAATTGTGAATATTTTTTATTCAATTAGTGCAGGTATTGGCCAAAAATAATTTGTAGATATTTAAAATCAATTATTCTTAAAGTCATTAACTATTGAAATAAAATGTAAAAAGCTCCTTTTATAGTGATTTGAAAATATTAAATATATTGGATTATAGTTAAAAATTAACAAAATTTGATTAAAATCTATTTTAAACCCTAATAAATGTGATTCTAAGTTTTCTTCAAATTGTGCGAAAAAAAGAAAAAAAATTATGGTTCCGGTTATCGCGACTGTTACGCTACGGCCTTTATACTCCGCAACTGTAACCATGCCACCACAACCGTTATGGCTACCGCAACCACTTTTCAAAACCTTTCCATATATGAATTTGGGATTTGAGGTTTGAGATATACTCATTTATTATTATTATTTTTTTGGTCTCTGTTTTTTTCATTTTCTAGAGGTCCAAACTTTATTGGTACTTAAATTGTTACTTTTTAACTGATGAGTCTTGGCATATGGATCATTATGGATTTAGGTTGTATGGCGTTCGAAATTGTCGTTGGGGCTGAGTGCTGTAGCTAATATGATGGTTCTTAGGCCCTGTTTGTTTCGGGGTGTAGAGGGTGGGATGGGATTAGGATGGAGATCGGGCCCATTTAGTGTTGTGTTTGTTTGTAGAGTTGGGGAAGGGATTAGGATGGAGGAGGGGATTAAGATGGAAGTTGGAAGGGGGATTGGGATGGAAGAGGTGGAGGTGGAGGTGGTATTAGAAAAATAGCGAGGGGATTAGAAATTTTTTTATTTTTTTACATGTTAGGATTTTTTTTTGAACATTAATGTTCAATTTTTTGTATTTTTTTATTTGTTTTATTATTTTATATAAAATTAATTTAACAATTCCTACACTAACAACTATCATCAAAACAAACACAATTTTACTTAACTCTACTCATTATCAATTCCCTCACTATTAATCCCCTCTATTCTATCTCTGAAAACAAACGGGGCCTTAGTAAAATGAGGAGCTATATGTCCAATTCATGAAGTGCAATCGGTTGGCTGAGGTTTCTGAAGCTTTTAAAGTGGCTTACGGCATGGTTCAGACCTTATAAGAAAATGCTGGAAGGTTTGATTCTATGGTTTCTGTCTTTTCTATTATAATCTTGTAAGCATTAGGGCTGATCAAAGTTTTTGGATTATTTATAAATTTCAGAGACTCTTATATGTTTTGTGCTGAAAATCCTAATTTAGAATCGTATTTTAGGAAAAAACTATAGCCGACTCCATTTGATGGAATTTAAGGCTTGGTTTGATCGATTTTAGGAAAAACTATGACACTATTGAGTCCCAAATTCAATTCACAAATTATTTAACATAACAAAGACCTGTTACATTTAGAAATGATTATAAGATCTATGTTTGCAATTGCTTTTATTGATTTTGTGATTTGGGTTAAGTCTTTTTTACTACATTTTGTATTTATTTGTGTTTTGGAATAGCTTTTTGGTTTTAGTCCTAATATGGAATTTGTTCTTGATTTCATGTCTTTTATTGGTAAGGTTAAGTTGGTTTGTCATTGGTGATGTTTTGAGTCTAAACCTTCTCTACTTGCGTCGAGTTTTGATTGTCCTCTTCAATAATTGGGTCAGGCTATAACTTATAAAATTAAAACTGCAACAAGCTGTGATTATTTTTACTCATTTTCCGACTTAAAGCATGCGTTACTCTGTCTCTTGGCTGTTTCGGTTTTTGCTCATTAGCTAATTGTCGGAGATTAACTTGATTTGAAATGTTCTTTTATTTGGTTCCGTTTGGTCGTTGAAAAAGTTTAAGCTAAGAAAACAAATGAAAATGGAGAAAACCCCTAGAATTTTTAAGTTCACAGAGAGCTGTTTGACTTTTGGAAATCAGAACAAACAGAAAGTAGAAGAGGAGTCATAATTTTGCTTCTGGTTTCTGTTTAATTATTCTGATCACGTTCTGTTTCATACTGAAAATTTATTATAAATAAATAAATAAATAAATAATTGAAGTAGTTGCTCCTTCCTCTTAATGAATGTAGTATGAGTTTGGTTTTGGATGTTCTAATTTTGTTTGCACGTCCTAGGCTTTAGTTTCCTCTGCCCCTGAATTGTGATGGACAATATGTAATTGCTGTAACTATTGTTATTATTATTGTTTTGCTTCCTTCAGGTGTTTTCTGTTGGTTTCAATTGCAATCTGAATTCGCCAAAGTTTCAGTCAAGCATTTTTGGTACTGTTGTTCCTGGCAAGTCATCTCATCTACAGTTGAGTATTTCGATCTCTCTCTCTCTCTCTCTCTCTCTCTCACACACACACACACACAGTTGAGTAAGTCATCTCTTGAATTGTGTATTTAATGTGTATTAAATTATCTTGTATAATTTAATCGCTATCACAGAACAATAAATAAATAAACACAATTAATAGAAAAATGGCTTGAATTATTCCTTCGTTTTTGTTTCCACTTCACATAGCCCTGCTTATTATATATGAACTGAAATAAAATGATTGCGACTGTCAAGCATGATGTAAGGGTCATATAATCTTTAGAAAGAAAATTGAGAAACAGAAATCTGACCATTTGTGTGACAGTGAGCTTTAGTGACAATAGAGTTGTTGATGGTGGAGAAGAGGTGAGCTGAGGATAACTGGTTTGGTAAAAATCAATTAGTTCCCTTCTGTTCCGAAAAGGAAGAGTTTGTTGCAAACATTTTATTAATCAGTGTATTGTTGCTGTTGGCAATCTTATTCTAACTTTTGCATTATATGTGTAGGTTCTTTGCCTCTACTTTCTTTTAAGTTGGCAAATTTCTTCTCCCAAATATTTCTGGTTTCCTTTGTTAAGTACTGATGTAGTCTCTTTGGTACTGGGCAGCAATGCGAATTCATATTGTTGCTTATAATTGTGGCATCTGTGCAGGAGAAAAGATAGAAAATTTATTGCCCTCTTGGTAGTGTTGTTATGGGGTTGGATGGCTGGATTCTCTATCAATACAGCTCATCTATTAATGTTTATCAATATTAACAACAGCTTGTCAAATATGCATTCCACTTCTACGTGTTAAAAAAATTTATGAGGTGTTAAATGGCAGTTTTCTGTCTTGAAACTTTTGAGACATTTTTTTTCACACAGAGAATTGGACTTGGGCTTTTTTCGGCGAACATATCATTTCCATGCTTTTATATTCTCGTGTACCTTGACAGCCTTTCTTTTCTTGATGACCTTGCATTTTATGTTCCGTCTCTGATGTATTTACAGGTTGGCTTTGCAATTGATGAACACTTGAGAGTCAAGAAAAGCGCACACAGGGCTTAAATGTTCTAATCCAACTGATTTTGCACATTCTTTAGTTTTGACTTGACACACTAATAGTTTTTCAAAATGCATATTTTGATGCGTTGAGTATCAAGTATTTGGTTCTTGATTTAGCCCAGTTTGAGCATGTCTCTGTGTACTTAGACCTGGAAAATATTGACTTCCTTCTTCCCTCTTTCTTTGTTTTGCCATGCCAGATTTGTCTCAAATAATGGCTTTGTGCTACTGTTTTCAGTGAGATCTTATTGGTAGATTTGTCTCAAAATATTTGTCGTTAAAAAGCTATAATTGTATTATTTGTGATGGTAATCAGATGGTCGCGAAAACATATTAAGCATTTTTTGAAAATTTTTTGCAAAGGTAAAACAGCAGACACTAAATAGTTTAGGCGGACATAAAAAGTATTTGTCACCCCAATATTTGGGCCGTTGCAAAGAACCTTTTGCTAATGTATTTCTAGTTTTTGCAATGGCATATGGCGGTTGCAAAAAGTATTCTTTTTGGGATAAATTATTAATAAGTCTTAATATTTGAATTTAATTCCCATCAAGTCTTATTAAAAATAAGTCATAGCAACATCTATGCAAAAAATAATATTTTTGTGATAATTTTTTACATGTTGCTAAAAATTGATAATCAATATTTTTATGTCATGATTTTCATGAACTGTTGCTAAAATGTACAATTAGTGACGTTTTTTTGTGACAAATTTTTTAAACTGTCATTAAAAGTTATAAATTAGTCATATTTTTGTGACGATTTTTTTAAATTGTCACTAAAATTTATAATTAGTGACATTTTATAATAATTTTTAAATTGTCATTAAAAATTAAAAATTAGTGACATTTTTAAATAATGTTTAATAAAAAATATTATTAATTATCATAAGACTTATTGAATAATAAATCCATTTATTAAGATCTATACATAAATTTTTCTTTTCTTTTTGTTTTGTTTTTTTTTTTTTTAAAAAAATTATCAGCTACTTATAGAAAAACATGACAATTTTTTTTTTTTATAGTAGTGATGGCTCATCTGCTTTGCTACACATTAGACTTTTATAATGTGTTCAGATTTGAATCTGGGATCTATTAAGGCAGTAAAAAATAATATTAAATAACACTTATAAATGTTCATTTTTTTTTTATAGGTATTCAAACAAATTTTTATTTTTAATATCAAATTCATTTGTTCCTCACTTTTCTAATTGAACCGAACAAAAGAAAGAAAATTTAGCTTATTCAACTATATTTTTCTTTTCACATCTTTTTATTCAGCGGTGATTGGGAGCTCTAATAGTGGGATTCACAATTTAGAATTTCTCTAGAGCTCACAATTTAGAGGTCTGAAACATTTTTCCTTGTTATTTATATAAATCTAAAATTCAAATAAAGTATAAATGTGATGAGGGAAAGAAAAACAAAATAAAAAAGAAAGTATTTGTATATAATAGTTTTTACACGGGTAACCAGTTTTAAAAAAAAAAAATACAAATTCTTTGATAATATTTTATTCAGTTTCTTCTAATAATCATAACCTAACCTAACAAAATTAATGAATTTAATTTCTTTTATCTATCTCCTTTTTTATTTTTACCTACAAATTCAAAATTCAAATGTAGTGTTTAGTACAAGTAGATTTCAAATGCAATGTACACGGCAAAATTTTGGTATTATAATTTTAAATTTATTAATTCAAATTAAATTAGTTTGAATTTAATTAGGGATTCTCACAATGTGAGAATAATGTTGATTACTTTTTTCCCGTTAAATTAATAATTAACATAAACTGGTGATACCTTTCTCCATAAAATTTTTTATTTGCTTCAGTTCATGTAAAAATAAATAAATTAAATAGAAATTATTTAAATGTAAAGTCCTTTAGTTTTAAAATATCTAATTACTACTTAAAATACAATCAATATGTTTGGTTTCTTTTTCTTTTTCTTTTTTTAAAAAAACAATTTTTAAAAAGAAAATTTAAAATTATTTTTAGTCTCTTAAAAGATAAAATTATATAAAAATAGTAAGTATTTTAAATTTTTCTTATTTCTTTTATCAAATTAATTTTTAATTTTTAAAAAAAAAAGTTTGCAAAAAAATCAAGCCAAAGTTTTTAACAATTGGAAGCCTGAAAGAATAGGGTTTAGGCCAAAAAAAAACAAAGCTTGAAAATTGGCGTGAATATTTCCTCTGCAGAACAGGTAATGTAAATACTACCCTCCTCTTTTTTGGTTTAAATTTTATCAATGTCTAGTTTAATCTTCAGAAATTTACACCATTTGAGGTCTTCTGTTAGAGCTTTTTCACCAACCCACCACAATCTCCATTTCCTTCAAAATTCACCCCTTTTCATCATCATCACTCAAAACCACTCCAAATCAACACTCAATTCACAGTGAATTACCTCATAAACTCGCGTGGATTTCCTCTAGAAAAGGCTCTCTCAGCATCAAAGTATGCCAATTTTGAAACCCCACACAAACCTGACTCTGTCCTCACATTCTTCGAGAACCACGGCTTCATCAAAACCCAGATCTCAATTCTCGTCAGGAAGCTCCCTCCGGTTCTCTTATGTGATCCCGAGAAAACCCTTTTGCCCAAACTCGAGTTTTTCAAATCTAAAGGCTTTTCGAGCACTGATGTTGCCAAAATACTATCTTCATCGCCAACTGTTCTGAAAAGAAGTTTGGAAAACCATGTCATCCCATCTTTCAATTTCTTAAAAAAATTGTGGGATCTGAAGCGGAAACCAAATATGCTATTAAAAGCTTTGACAGGCTTCTTTTGCTTGATCTTCGAGTTTGCGTGGCACCCAACATTGAATTTCTGCGAGAATCCGGTGTGCCAAATGAGAATATTATGGTCTTGTTGAAGTACCGACCTAGAGCATTCATGACAAGCAATGATAGGTTTAGAGAGATTGTGAAGGAGGTGGAGGAAATGGGTTTTAATCCTCTTAGGAAGAAGTTTGTGATAGCAGTTCATGCTTTTAGGGCAATGAGTAAATTGACATGGGAGAAGAAGGTTGAGGTTTATAAGAAATGGGGATTGTCTGAGGATGAGATTCTTGTGGCTTTTGGGAAGCATCCAGGGTGCATGATGGTTTCCGAGCATGAGATCAAGGAAGTGATGAACTTTTTTGTCAATAAAATGGGTTGGGAGTCTTCATTTGTTCCAAGAAATCCATTACTTGTTTCGCTGAGCTTAGAGAAAAGAATTGTTCCAAGGTGTGCAGTTTATCAAGTATTATTGCTATCGAAAGTTTTGATTAACAGCAACAATATTAGCTTGTCAACTATGCTGAAGGTTAGAGAAATGTTGTTCTTAAAGAAGTTTTTGATCTGTCATGTGGAACAAGCTCCTGAGCTATTGAAATTGTATAGGGAAAAGTTGGCTCTTGCAAAGTAACTAGGATATAGGTAGGATGTCTTCTTTTGAAACCAACTCAACATACAGTTGGAATGTTCTTTTGTTTCTCCTGGTTGAACTCTGTTATTGAATTATCTCATTTTGAATACAATGTGGCAATCAATTAAAATTAGTTATCCGTAAGCAGGTTCTGTTCTCTGTTTCGACTCTGACCAATGAGATTTGAAGTTCCACACTGCTGCATTGAATTCTTTGTCGTTTTGTAATGTGGTTGAGGCTTGAAGCAGTGTGCCAATGTCTTTTCATCTGGGTAATTATGTATAGGTATGTAAATATATTTACATATCTACCCGTGTATGTATTTTGTTTATACATTACCATGTTGTAAGCAGGGGGACCTATTTCCTTTTCTAAGGTTTACCTTGATTCCATATATTCATGATGTCTGCTTCAACTGTGAATGCGCATGCTGGTTAGAATTACCTAATTACACTTCCCTTGGCTACTATGGTTAGTTTATTGTTTCCCTTCCAATCAAGTTCCAATTTGACAAACTATATTAGATCTTTTTGGATTCTCTTATTTTTTTTGCTTTTGAGTTTCTCTTTGAGGTTGCATTTTAGATATTCGTTTTGATATATCAAAGCCATGCAGCTTATTGGATAGGCTAGTTTTCTTTGTTTTCTTGGGTTTATCAACATCTAGTTTTCATTGATCGATACTGTAAATTTTACTACAGTTTTATTTATAATGAAATCCTAATTATGTACTAATGAAAACAAATGAATCTGCCCTTGGTATGAAGTAATTTCTTCCGTGCACCATTTGCTTCTGCAAATGCTCAAATGAAGCTGCATGCCCATTATTATGGGTTTATTTATATAAATGAAAAACTTGTGTTATCATGTTTTCTAAAAACATCTAAAATGCTATATGTTGGCATGTGGCTTTTCAGGTAGGAGCTTACATTGCATTCATTCAAGCTACAAGGAACCATTTATTTGAAGTGATTGAAACCACCCCAAGAAAAAGAGAGAAGAAATTGTTGTTTTGGTTTGTATGATTCTAATTTTGAGCGTAAGCAACAGGATCCAACCCAGGTCTGGAGGAGAGCTATTGATTGTGCAATTTGCTTTTACAAAGGCGAATTATGAGGTGGTTGTGTCCGAGCCTGATACTACTACTGATGAAGCTGAAACAGGAGATTGGGGCTTGAGTCAAACAACAAAAGGTGAGATTAAAATTAATTTGTTGGTGCTATGGCGAAAGGTCCACAGAATGGAGTGTTGGCTCTTGTGGTTAAAGACAGTATATGTCAAATTTTTCTTGTTGGGGTGGGTTGTAAAACTTGGGAAATTACTTGCTTGTCTTAGAGAAATTATCCAGTAGGTCTGATTTTAGGTTACACATTCTCGAGAGAGAACTGTTGTCTCTGATTTTGTACTCTCCTTGTATTGGTTGGAAATAGAAAAATAAGATTGCTATGGCATTGACAATCCAATACCACCACCTCTTCCAAATATGCAACCTTCGTAATGTTGTGAGTACCATGGCTGCTACCCGGGTTTGGATTTTGAATTTATTTTACTCAATTTTTGTAGTTACATCTTTATGAAATTCAAGCACATGTCATGTTTGATATCCCGCTTGGGAGGTTCAATTAGGAAAACATTATTGATTGGAACACATAATCACTTCCGTAATGTTTCTGAAAAATTGGATAGTTTCTGCCGGATGAGCCCTTTGAAACCAGTGATTCAAAGTCCACAACTGATGCATTTGAAACAGGTTCCTAAGACTAACACGGCAATGTCCATTCAGATATAAAGCAATTTCCTGACATGGTGATTAAAATTTTTGAGTCATCACAAAGAGCAATAACATAAACTCTCTCTCACTAAATTTCTTATTGGCTGACCAATTGAAAATTCATCAAAGGCGAAAGTTCCTGCTAGTCTTGCATCAGAGAATGCCCTGAAAAAATAGATTGCAGCGAGCAGAAATTATTCCATATATATCCATAGATATTCCCCCCAAACTCATCAACAATGGAACACAGCACATTTTGCCACAAACTTTGATGTCAAACTTCTATTAACAATGACTTAATAATGATGGCAATAATTAAATTAACTTCAATATTGCCAATCAAATTTTACTTCGATAATCATAATTCACCAAGATACAGCTTACTGAAGGATCATCCTTCAACTTTCATTCTCCACACGTCTTGGTCTCCTTTGTAAAGCTGGTCAGGGAGAGTCCAAGTGGAACATAAAAGCAGAGTAATGCATTAGGCACCATGAGAGTGAGAGACCGGGAACAGTCACTCCCCTAGCTGATTGAAACACTTTCTCCTCCTCTCCTTCAGTATACACTCCAGATAAAATATTTCCCAAAAAAAGAAAAAGAACAAGAAAAAGAAAAAGAAAAATAAAGTGTTTCACCTGCTCAACAAGTGTGTGGAAGGCATTAGTTGTCTGCTCTTAGGTTGAGCAGTGAGGGTCAAAGAAAGACAATCACATCACTCATTCTTAAAACTAGCATTTTTAAGACCAAAGACTCAGGGTGGAAAAAGAAGGAAAGGTCTCCATTCCTGGTTCTCTTGTAGCTGAGAATCCAGGATTTACAAGCATTAATAATATACAAGTTAAGATACCCACTCAAAAAAAGAAAACAATATAACATTTATAAATAAATAAATAACAGTACAAAATTAAAATCCTCCAGCAAAAATTGAATAAAAATATCAAAGCATTCACCACAGTTCCCAATATGGACTTGGAAGCCGATATCAAATGGACTAAAAACTGAACTAAGAGCACTCTCAAAGCTGCACAAAAAGAGCAATGTCATATGGACTAAAAACTGAACTAAGAGCACTCTCAAAGCTGCACAAAAAGAGCAATGTCATTTAGTATGGTCTAAATGAAAGACAACGAATCCACTCCAGTTGCGGAAAAATCACATTTATGCATGTTTTGTTACAATGAAATAAAAATCGACAACTACTGAATGTTAGACAACAGCTAAAGTGAAATCTAAAATCCTTATCATCTATGAATATGAAATGAAAAAAAGCACCTTGACCTAATCACACCAATGAACAGATGATGGAACACAGCTTTAAGCATCACTATAACAAAATGGCAGAAAATTCAATGCAACACTGTGGAACTTCAAATTCCATTTGTCAGAGTGAAAAACTGAGAATTCAAACTTGCTTATAGAAGACAAATTTCAATTGATTGCCTGGTTGTATTCAAAATGAGATAATTCAATATCCACTCTCATCTGCATCCGCATATCCTAATTATTGTGCAAGAGCCAACTTTTCCTTGTACAATTTCAATAGCTTAGGAGCTTCTTCTTTGTGACGGTACACAACCCTATTTAGGAACCAGTTTTCGGGAGAGACTAGCATTCTCATCAAGCTAATATCCTGGTCTTTAATCAAACCTTTTGACAACAATACTTTATAAACTTCACACCTTGGAACAATTCTCTTCTCTAAGCTCAGCGAAACAAGTACTGGCCTTCTTACAAAAAATGAGGACTCCAAACCCATTCTATTGACAAAAAAATCCATCACCCCTGAGATCTTATGCTCAGACGCTATCATACACCATGGACGCTTCCCAAAAGCAACAAGAATATCATCCTCAGACAAACCCCATTTCTTATAAACCTCAACCTTCTTCTCCCATGTCGATTTACTCATTGCCCTAAAAGCATGAATTGCTATCACAAACTTCGTCCTAAGAGGATTAAAGCCCATTTCCTCCACCTCCTTCACAATCTCTCTAAACCTATCGCAGCTCGTCATGAATACTCTAGGTTGGTACCTCAACAAGACCAAAATATTCTCATTTGGCACACCGGATGCTCGCAGAAATTCAATGTTGGGTGCCACGTCAATTTGAAGATCAAGCAAAAGAAGCCTGCCAGAGCGTTTAATAGCAGATATGGTTGCCGCTTCGGATCCCATCAATTTTTTTAAGAAATTGAAAGATGGGATGACATGGTTTTCCAAGCTTCTTTTCAGAACAGCTGGCGATGAAGACAGTATTTTGGCAACATCAGTACTCGAAACGCCTTTAGATTTGAAAAACTCGAGTTTGGGCAAAAGGGTTTTCTCCGGATCACATACGATCACCGGAGGGAGCTTCCTGACGAGAATTGAGATCTGGGTTTTGGTGAAGCCGTGGTTCTCGAAGAATGCGAGGACAGCGTCAGGCTTGTGTGGGGTTTCAAAATTGACATACTTTGATGCTGAGAGAGCCTTTTCTAGAGGAAACCCACATGAGTTTATGAGGTAATTCACTGTGAATGAGTGTTGATTTGGAGTGGTTTTGAGCGATGATGATGATGAAAAGGGGTGGATTTGAAGGAAATGGAGATTGTGGTAGGTTGGTGAAAAGGCTCTAATAGAAGACCTCAAATGGTGTAAATTTCTGAAGATTAAACTAGACATTGATGAAATTTAAGCCCCAAAAGAGGAGGTAGTATTTATATTACCTGTTCTCCAGAGGAAATCTTTGCAGATTTGAAGTTTTTGCGCTGAAATCCTCGGTTTTTTCATGAACCCTAAAAACCCTCTCAAGTACAATTTGTAATTTAACCAGGGCTGGGCGTGAACCGCACAACCCGTTCAATCTCAATGGATTTAAAATCTAAATAAGCGATTTCTTAGATATAACGTGAGTAGATACGGTTTGTAATAAAATTTATAAGAATATGCTTATACCTAGGTCTCGTTTGGGATGTTACCTTTTTAATTAATTAGTCAAAAAATTATTAAATTAGTCAATTAATCATACCAAAAAATCAACAATTACGGCTTCTCTCTACTTTTTGCACAGCTTTTCGTAATTAGTCAAAAAGTCATCCCAAACATACAAGTTTTTTTTACCTACCTTTTTAGCCAATTAGTCAAAAAGTTACTAAATTAGCCTGTTCCCAAACGAAGCCTTAGATTATTTTTATTTTTATTTTATTTTTTTTAAGATGGAGTTTGCGAGTTTGTAAATGTTTTTATTTTATTTAATGAATTGAAATTGCATAAAATTTGATACTAATTTATTATTATTTTATTATTATATTTTGAATGAATGTAACAGTTAATAAAAATTTAATTTTAGCTAAATTTAAGATTTTAAATAATTTTACTTTAATTATATTGTTGTGTAGTGAATAATTTTGATGATTTAGTTTAGAATTTTGAAAGATGTGCTTGTGCTAGTTTATAATTTTATTTAAAAATTTAGGATTTTGAATAATTTGCTTGTGTTACAAATTGATTTTGTTGTATTTTTAATTTTATAAGTTTTAATCTATTAATTATTAATGTTCAGCATTAGAAAATGGGAAGAAAATGAACCAAAATAAATATTTACAAAACGAAAAAAGAAAAAGAAAAAAAAAAGGCACAAATATAAAATTTAAAAAAAAAAATTAATCCAGAACCCACCCGCAACTGCTCACACATTCGCAACCCGCATTGCGAGCGATTACAAATTCAATTTTTTCTAAACTATACATATGTGAATGGGTCCAAATTACAAATTGAACCGTTTAAAATCAAACCACGAGCACTCCTAAGTTTAACGTAGCTGGTTACGGCCCTGTTTGGTTATGTATGTAGTTCAATTTGGTAGACCTGAATTGAAAAGTTCTTATTTTATTAACTTTTTTATAAAAAGACCCATAGAAAAAATGTAGATAATAATTTAATAATTTGTAATTATTTTTTTAACTAAAAACATGCATTCCTAAACAAGGCCATAGTATTCCTAACATTTCTCTAAATCAAATCCAAACAAAATTAGAAAATTGGTAAGGGGTTTTTTTTTTTTTTTTTTTTTTGGCCATAGTATTCCTAACATTTCTCTAAATCAAATCCAAACAAAATTAGAAAACTGGTAAGGGTTTTTTTTTTTTTTTTGAAAAAACGACAGAAATTGTTTCATTTTTCATTTTGCCACAAACTTTGATGTCAAACCTATTAACAATGACTCAATAATGATGGCAATAATGAAATTAACTTCAATATTGCCGACCAAATTTTACTTCAATAATCATGATTCAAAAAGATACGGCTTACTGAAGCATCATCCTTCAACTTTCATTCTCCAAGAGTCTCGGTGTCCTTTGTAAAGATGGTCAGGGAGAGTCCGAGTGGAACATAAAAGCAGAGTATCGCATTCGGCACCATGAGAGCAGAGCAAGAGATTAGGAATAGTCACTTCCTAGCTGATTGAAACACTTGCTCCTCCTCTCCTTCAGTTTCATACACTACAGATAAAATATTTCCCAAAAAAAGTGTTTAACCTGCTCAACAAGTCTGTGGAACGCATTAGTTGTCTGCTCTTAGCAGAGGGGTCAAAGAAGGACAACCACATCACTCATTCTTAAAACTAGCGTTTTTAAGACTAAAGACTCAGGGTGGAAAAGGAGGGAAAGGTCTCCATTCCTAGTTCTCTTGTAGCTGAGAATCCAGGATTTACAAAGCATTAATGATATACAAGTTAAGATACCCACTCAAAAAAAGAAAACAACATAACATTTATAAATAAATAAATAACAGTAAAAAACTAAAATCATCCAGCAAATATTGAATAACAATATGAAAGCATTCACCACAGTTCCCAATATGAACTTGGAAGCCTATACCAAATGGACTAAAAACTGATAAGAGCACTCTCAAAGCTGCACAAAAAGAGCAATGTCGTTAAATATGGTCAAAATGAAAGACAACGAATCCACTCCAGTTGCAGAAAAATCACATTTACGCATGTGTTGTTACTATGAAATAAAAATCTGACAACTACTGAATGTTAGACAACAGCTAAAGTGAAATCTAAAATCCTTATCATCTACAAAGATAAAGTGAAAAAAAGCACCTTGATCTAATCATCCCAATGAGCAGATGATGGTACACAGCTTTAAGCATCAACTATAACAAAATGGCAGAAAATTCAATGCGACACTGTAGAACTTCAAATTCCATTTGTCATAGTGAAAAACTGAGAATTCAAACTTGCTTATGGAAGTCAAATTTCAATTGATTGCCCAGTTGTATTCAAAATGAGATAATTCAATATCCACTCTCATCTGCATACGTACATCCTAATTATTGTGCAAGAGCCAACTTTTCCTTGTACAATTTCAATAGCTTAGGAGCTTCTTCTTCGTAACGGTACACAACCCTATTTAGGAACCTGTTTTCAGGAGAGAGTAGCATTCTCATCAAGCTAATCTCGTTGTCTTTAATCAAACCTTTTGACAACAATACTTTATAAACTTCGCACCTTGGAACAATCCTCTTCTCTAAGCTCAGCGAAATAAGTACTGGCCTTCTTACAACAAATGAGGACTCCAAACCCATTCTATTGACAAAAAAATCCATCACCCCCAAGATCTTGTGCTCGGACGCTATCATACACCACGGATACTTCCCAAAAGCAACAAGAATATCATCCTCAGACAAACCCCATTTCTTATAAACCTCAACCTTCTTCTCCCACGTCAATTTTCTCATTGCCCTAAAAGCATGAACTGCTATCACAAATTTCGTCCTAAGAGGATTAAAGCCCATTTCCTCCACCTCCTTCACAATCTCTCTAAACCTATCGCAGCTCGTCATGAATGCTCTAGGTTGGTACCTCAACAAGACCAAAATATTCTCATTTGGCACACCGGATTCTCGCAGAAATTCAATGTTGGGTGCCACGTCAATTTGAAAATCAAGCAAAAGAAGCCTGCCAGAGCGTTTAATAGCATATATGGTTGCCGCTTCGGATCCCATCAATTTTTTTAAGAAATTGAAAGATGGGATGACATGGTTTTCCAAGCTTCTTTTCAGAACAGCTGGCGATGAAGATAGTATTTTGGCAACATCAGTGCTCGAAACGCCTTTAGATTTGAAAAACTCGAGTTTGGGCAAAAGGGTTTTCTCCGGATCACATACGATCACCGGAGGGAGCTTCCCGACGAGAGTTGAGATCTGGGTTTTGGTGAAACCGTGGTTCTCGAAGAATGCGAGGACAGAGTCAGGCTTGTCTGGGGTTTCAAAGTTGACATACTTTGACGCTGAGAGAGCCTTTTCTAGAGAAAACCCACATGAGTTTATGAGGTAATTCACTGTGAATGAGTGTTGATTTGGAGTGGTTTTGAGTGATGATGATGATGATGATGATGAAAAGGGGTGGATTTGAAGGAAATGGAGATTGAAGTGGGTCGGTGAAGAAGCTCTAACAGCAGACCTCAAATGGTGTAAATTTCTGAAGATTAAACTAGACATCGATCAAAATGAAGCCCAAAAAAGAAGAGCTAGTATTTACATTACCTGATCGATCTGCAGAGGATATATTTGCAGATTTTAAGCTTTTTGCGCTCAAATCAAATCCTGTGTCTTTTCATCAACCCCAAAAACCCTCCCAAGTAGTCACAATTGGTAGCTACATACGGCGCCGTTTCGTTATGTATGTTTGTAGTTCACTTTGTTATACCTAATCTGAAAACTTTTTAATTTTTATGAAAAAGCGTACAAAAAAAAATGTAGATAATAATTTGAAAAAATTACTCATATATTTCATTTAAAGAAAAGTTGTTTCATTTAATTTTAAAAGTTTTTTTTTAAATCAATTAATTATTTATATTTGGAGTATATTATATTTTCTTGATTTGAGAGTTTGATAGTTTTAGTTGTTTGCTCCTGTATGTAATTTTGTTTGGATTTTTTCTTGATGTTGGGTGTATGTGAATAAGGTAAATTTTTACGTTTCTATTTTTTTACAGGGATTTAGTAAAATGATTTTTCGGTAGATGATGTTACCCCGTTTGTGGTGTTACAATGCAATATATTTTCATATACTAAACAAACATAAAGATTTAACATTTACATAACAATTTAACTTACACCACCACCATAAGCCCACTATAAACAATCACACTTATCCTACCCTATTATAACATTGACATTAATTAACATCCAAATGACCCAAATCACTAACTAACACTATCATATCCCTAATATCCATAACAATGTCAAAAAACAAGAGCCATTTAACGTGTACATTACACATGCTAATACAAACATCACAACAACAAAATGTGGCCAACAAAAACTACAAAGTTACATAGCACAATTATTGTTCAGCAACACAAAGTTACACCAACTTGCCAAATGATACCTACAGAATCCACAAACAAAACAATGACCACATGAATGAGGGATTGCATGGAGTGATTTGGGGGTTTGTTGATGTGGGTGTATTGATGTTGGATCGTGGGGTTTGTTAAAGGAGGTGTAGGTGAATGTTTTTTTCCCTGGTGTTGCTTCGGTGCCTATGTTGCTGGCAAATTGTGCGGCAATTTACAGATCAGTTTTATATTTTGTTTATGGTTGGTTCAATGTGTTGGGCTATGGTTTCGTTGTTGGTAAGTGTGTCAGGAAATATGGAGTTTAATGTGTTAATATTACGATGCCATTCTGGGGGTGTTGTTTGACTGTCATTGTGAGTTGTGTTGTTTAATTTTCGGTCGATGAGGTGTTAGTAACGGTAGCGTTATGTCATTCTCGGATACAACAAGTTCAAGGTTGATTGTGATGAAGATTTGCAAAACATGTTGTGCATTGCAAAGTTGTTCGAGCTTGATCATATTGTCCCGAATTTCAATCGCTGCTCATTCTTTAATCAAACCATACCACAATAACATCTGACAAAAAAATCACCATCATGCATACAAAATTTTACAAACAGAAATTTAAAAAGACCATTACGAGCTATCACGCTACCCACCCCTTGCAACCAATCGAGCACTACTATGTAATGAAAACACAAATTCCAGCATATATCTAAATGTCATTCGCCCAATGGACGTACCACTACATCGAACATTTTACCAACATGAATGTGGTTACAAGTTGCGTTGTTTAAGTTTTGGTCGATGCAGTGTTAATAATGATAGCGTTATGTCATGGTCTATCATTTTATTACAACATATATCTAAAGGTCATTCGCTTAATCAATGTACCACTACATCAAACATTTTGTTATGTCATGGTGTGTCATTTTATTACAACATATATCTAAAGGTCATTCGTTTAATTGATGTACCACTACATCAAACATTTTACCAACTTAAATGTGGTTTCCTTCAGATATTACCCAACAGGGAGGTTATAGCGATCCCGGTTGTCCCTTTACTGTTCTGTTGTGTTCCGGACTCGGTTCCGTGAAGTTGGTAGTGGTATCTATCTTGTTGCCGTCCTTTAATTCCCCTTAATTGAGTTTTAGGATGTTTTGAGCAGGGTTGTTACAAGTTGGTTAGGCCTTGGTTTCAATTCCTTGTTGTCCAGTTTTTAGGCGATCCACTCGAGCGGGTCTTCTTGCGCTCGAGCGTGGATTGCACACCTCCAGTATTTCGTGTTCCTACAAAACTTCTGCAGATGTGATTTTTACGCTCGAGCAGGTTTGTTTACGCTCGAGCGGTGGAGCTCGAGCGGGTTTGGTGGCGCTCGAGCGGGTAGTACTTTCTGGGTATAAGTTCTGGGTGGTGGAAATCTACGCTGGAGCGGACTGGTTTTCGCGCTCGAGTAGAAGTGCTTTATTCTTGTGTCTTGGCGCTCGAGCGGGCCTTATTGTGCTCGAGCGTGCCCAGATTTTTGTTCTTGGCGCTCGAGCGTTGTGTTCTCCGCTCGAGCGGGTCATGCGTATATGAGTTATCCGCTGAGTGATTTTAAATCACTTTTTACTTTCCCTGCTCTCTCCTACTTTTTCTAAAACTCATTTTGAGAGCTTCTCTCTCTAAAACCTTGACTTCTCTCTAGGTATTGATCTAGTAGGAGTGAGTTCCTCACCTTTGGCCTTTGTAAAAGTTGTGTGGATCGTCGAGGGCGTCGTTTTGATCCGAAAATCTTGGTCTTTGGAGCACTTTGGTTTTGGTCACTTCTCCATCCGAGCTCTAACTTCGAGGTAGGAATATCCTACTCCTCTTTATGAGCTTTGTCTTTAAATTTTTGCATTTTGATATGTTGGGGGTTGTTGGGTAATTTTGAGAGAGTTTGGGCCTTTGTGTAATTTTTACAAAAGTTGGGGTTTTGGCTATATAAAACCTAGATGCATGTTTAGCATAGAAAAGTGAAATTTATGTTGAAACACTAGTGAAAATGGAACCTAAGGGTTTAATGTTAATTATGGAATATGTCTTAATTACATTGGTTAATTAATTTGTATAATTAATTATGAGAAATGAGGAATTGATTTGGAAAGGCATGGGATGAAAGGGTGTAGTTGGATTATTTATCGCTCACCTAGTTGAAATGTTAATTATATATCCATTGTTGCATTTATTTTCTGTATAGAAATAACTGCTTTGAGCTATCGGTGGAGGATAGTCTTGATTATTGTTGACAATGCATGATGATTAGGCAAACTGAGACTAATCACTGGAATGTGTCATTGAGTATGACGACTGAAAGAATACATTAAATTTATGTATTGTGTGATGATGTGTATAATTATTGTTTATATGCATTGTGTTGTGTGGGAGGAGATAGGGGATGTACTCCACGGTTTAGGGGAAGATAGGGGATGGACCTCTAAGCCGGATGTTGTTGGGAGGAGATAGGAGATGGACTCCATAGATAGAGCTCATATGCTTATCTAGTAATGTGTTGACAGAGCTCATATGCTTGTCATTGGAAGTGTGATAGTGCTCTTATGCATATCTGTGGAAGTGATGATATAGCTTGTATGCTTATCTGTTGGTGTGTGACATAGCTAGTATGCTTATCTATTATGAAATGGGAAAGTGCTTAATGTGAGTTACTGTCTCATATGAGTTGTTTGGCTAGGTTTTGAGCCATGGTTGTAAATTGAGAATTTAAAAGAATTGGAAAATGGATTGTAATGTGGAGTTGTATGTCATGAAACCGTAAAGTGTAATAAGGGAAAGTATCAGTGTTGGCCATCTATCAACTGCCAATCTTTTAGTCATTGTTCATATTTGGTTTAGTATATTTCTACTGGGCTGTGGCTCACCCTATATGGGAATATCATTTTCAGGTACAGGTAGCATGTCACCTCCAAGGACGTAGCTTAGGAGGCTAGAAGCAGGCAGACTTTTGCTGTTTTATTTCTTTGATGTATTACATGTATATTCAAGCCAAGGGCATAATGTGTAAATGAGTTAGCACTCTTTTGTTGTAACCAAGTGTTAACTTGGAAAGCTATAAGCCTTTAGGGCATTTGCCTTTTGTTGTTAACATGTAATACTTTTGGTAATGGAACTCTGATGAATAGAAGAAAGTGGAGCTTTTATATATCATTGCATGTCTCTATTGATGGGTTTAATGTTATTATTTTGAGGGCGTGACAGAGGTAATTTATTTTACAAAGCTACATATCTGTAAATGAACTCAACCAAAAAGAGATCTAACCATTTAACAACATACGGACAAAACCCACTAAACAAGTGCGACTAACATTGCAATTCAAACTATCTGACATTGATTCAGTTTAAACCACAAACCAACACATCTATAAACAAACCCAACCAAAAGGGGACCCAAACCATTCAGCTAAAGAACAACAAAACCCAATGCACAAATGTGACTAATAGTGCATTTCATTAACATGTAAATCATCAACATTACACTTAACTAATATTAATGTCACTATCATTCCACATCACCTCCATCATATTTACCATTGATAAACAGTGGAAATAACAACACGACTAATGGCATTACAATTAAATTGATGCCAAAATACACCACAACAATCCAATGTCAAACATAAATTTACACTACCAGAACACTAACCACAAAAGAGATTATCCATTACATGACCATACCCTCGATGCAGTTTGAAACCCACCCAACCATTAGTATCTACTAAATCATTATTTAGTAACTAACGCTACTATATATCATCAAGAACAAACACACACTTTAACATTGAACACACAAACCGAATCAACTACAATAATAAGGAAATCGACATTGGGGGCCACATAACTAACAACATCGTTCACTAACACAGTCGCGGAAGCCGACGGTGAGTGAATGAAATCTTGAATCTCGTTGGAGTGACATCGTTAAAATCAACCACAAACACAAAAATTATTCACTTCTGATGTGTACCGACGACGCAATTTCACTCACAGAAGAAGATTTTCTTATTTATAAGGTTTGGGAGAAAAAATGAATGTTAATTTGTGCAAGTCGTAACAATGAGTTAACATTATCTAAACGTTTAGGGTTTTCACCGCACTAATATTGCAAACGCAGAACTT